CAAGGGTTCACAAGTAGTAAGGAGCTGAGCTGTGCTTTGAGACCATGATTTAACTACTTGAAACCCTTTGGTCTTTCTGTTCTAATAAAAAAAGAAAAATAATTTGCTATAACTGCTTTGGAAGATATCACCTTCCAAAACATTTTGCTGAACACTTCATTATTTTTTGGTAGATATCATGCAAAGTAGTTAAGTAAGATAACTTAGCTCTATCTTCAACTCCCTGAAAGAGAACCCAAACTGCAGTTGTGTATGAAATGGGCTAACACTCATATCGGGATGATTGAGGAAGTAAGATAACACATGGAAAAGCACAACACACATATAAGGAGGGATAATGCCCAAAGAAAGAAGTATTACAACACAGGCAGCCCTGGGAGACAATCTCAGAAAACACTAGAGGAGAAGGAAATTGTCATCTCTCTTGTAATCAAGGATCAATAATGAAGACATTTCATCACTATGAACTACTTGACTGATTTCTAGTCTGAGGGACTAGAAATAGGGAGAAATTGTGGACAACCATATAGTGACTCTTAGCACACACACCTGTTTTGACCCATTCAAACTAGCAAAATAATTTTTTTTAGCAAAATAATTTTAAACTTCAGAGTTCCAAAGCATCAAGCTACACAGAGGAAACTTTTAGATAAGGAGGAAAAATAACTCATCACTTCCATCACAATGCATAATTCTAAATCAATCATTCTCCTAATTTTTAAGTTCTTCAATATTCAGTTTCTAAGGAAAAAGTGAGCCTTGCAGAAATTGTGAAACCACCTCACACTGTCCATACACATCAGCACCATGCAAATTTTCCTCCACTGCAATCGATCTTCCAGGTGGATTTGAAGCTGAATTGGTCCAGAATGGGCAAGAGTAGCAGGAAGCAGACAAGGTGTAATTGCTGGTCCTTCCACCAGAGCACCAACCTGCCTGCTTGTTATCCCAGTCTCAGGATAACAAGCCTGGGAGAAACAATTCAAGAGTGATGGGAAAATCATGGAGGTGTGGCATGAATGACAACTCTCTAATTAGTCCACCACTTTATACATTATATAGCTGCAGCCTATTAGAAAGGATGTGTATGTGTGTACACCACACCAGGGAGCGTATGCTAGGCAAGTACTCTAACACTGAGTTACACTCCCAGCCTCTTTTATTTATTTATTAATTTTTTAGAAACAGGGTCTCCCTCAGTTGCCCATACTGGCCTCAATCTTGTGATCCTTCTGCCTTAACCTCGCAAGTAAGGGATTGGAGGTATGCAAGTAAGGGATTGGAGGTATGCATCAACACGCCCAACTAGAAAGGCTTTTTTCTATCAAATATTTTACTAATCTTACTGTGTAAGGTATAAGTGAACAAAATTTCACAAGGGTCAAAGAGCCAGTTTTGACAGGTCCTTCTCACAAAATGACTTACAAACCACTACTCCCCATGTGTGCACATTACCCAACATGACACCAAACACAAAGTGCATAATATGTACTCTGCCAACAGAGAAGTATGCAATACTGTTGAAGAGTACATATTGTGCACTTTGTGTCTGGTGTCATGTTGGGTAATGTGCACATATGTGCTCTAGAACCATATTCTTCTAAACAACTGCCTATCTGACATGTCCGCTTGGGTGCCTAAAAAGCATCTCAAGACTTAACAACAGCCAAAGCATGATCATTCAACCATACTCCCCACCACACACACACCAAATGTGCACCTCCCCAAACATTCCCAATCTCTGCACCTCCCCAAACATCCACTCAGTTGCTCCTAAGAAAATAATAGTATCTTTGAGTTCTCTTTCAACCATCCACTCTGTGGCAATCTTGTCCATTCCAACTCCAAATCCATCCAATTTCTCTTTTTGCAGCCACCCTAGTCCTAATCACCACTGCTCTTGCCTCCTTTCATTTCTTTCTAATCCCATTACCTAGCCCTTCCCCACACATCAAGTCCACTCCATAGGGGAGTCAAGGCAATTTGTCAGTCCTTGGTTTAAAAGGCTGCCAGACTTCATAATGCCCTCAAAATAAAATTCAATGGTAGAGCCCTTGCCTACCATGCACAAGGCCTGATTTTGATGCTAAGCTCTATAAAAAATAATATAAAGTTTAATCTTAAACTTCAACATGTCCTAAAAGATCCTTTATTATCTAGCCCCAACCTATTTCCTATCTTTGCTTTACAGCACTCATCCCTAGCCATTCCCCTGTCTTTATCTACCAGTCCTCAACCACATGACTGTCACTGTACTAGCTTACCAATGTTCTCTATGTTCCCAGTTCCTGTCCCAAAGATTTTCAACTTACTATTCCTTCTTTTTGGAAGCCAGTGTCCAGACCCAGATCTACCCAAAGACATTCTTCAACTGTCTTCTGAGGCTTTTCTACAATAGTCCATCAAAAATATTACACATTCTTCATCACATGTGTTTTCTCTATTTTCTTCATGGGAGCAGGAACCTTTTCTGTTTTATTCAGTATTACAACCCCGGGACCCAGCACATAGCAAGTGTCTAATTATTTCCATGAATTCAACCAGCATAAAAGCATCTGCAATGTGCTAATCACTATTCTAGGCGACAAAGACAGTAGTAGACAAGAGAGAGAGACCTGACTCTCATAATGGAACTTTACTCTCTAGGGAGAGCAAATTAACAAATAATAAGGAGTGAGATTGAGTGAGAGGCCCCAAGAAGCAGGAGCCTGCAGGCATCCCCTGCCTTGATTAGCTGCTAACACTTTAGTTAGCTTTCTCAGCTACAGAAGCCAACAGCTTACACAAACCCCACCCACCAACTAGTGGAAAATTCAGTATGGTCTCAAACTCTGGTTTCAATAAGTAGCAAAAAAAAAGGGGGGGGGCAGCGGTGGTAAGGGAGATGGAGAGAAGGAAGGGTACTCTTTTATGTAGGGCAATCAAAGAAGACCTTGCTGGTATGATGGCATTTGGGGAGAGATCTGAAAGATATAAGGAACCAAACAAGTGAGCCGTGGTTACCTTCCTCAAGCAGAGAAATAACGCATGCAAAGGCACTGAGGAGGAATCTAGTTAGATGCCAAAGTAATAGAAGGATCTCATTATGGCACCTAATGAACAGGTGTTGCTGAGTAGTATGAGATGAGGTCCAGTGGAGGGCTTTATAGGTCAGTGAAAAGACTTGGATTTTACTCATCAACCTAGAAGGTTTTGGAGAATTCTGGGAAAGCTCACACAACATTATTTAAGTTTTAAAAGAACTCCTCTAGCTGTCCAAAGACTGCAAGGACCACGGTTAGAAAGTTAGTGGCTTGCAAAGGAAAATAAGACGGGGTTGTATTCTGAAATATATGTTTAAGTAGAATCAGTAGGATTTTCTGGCAGATTGTGGGGTATGAGAAAAAAAGGAGGATCACTCCACAACTATTAGCTTACACTCCTTTAATAATAGAGTTCTATTTACTTCTAGAGCAAAGAGAAAATGAAGATTTGGTTTGGGGCACCTTGAGTGTGACTGAGATGTTTATTGGTCATCTAATTGGTGACTTCCAGAAGTCTAATGGATGTACAAATCTAGAAATTAGAGGATACACCTGGACTGAAGATCTTTATACCATATTTGCTTTTGATAGTTCTACTTATGTACACATGAAGCTGAATGAAATCACCTGGCTGCAGGGGGAAGTAGGTACAGAAGAGGTTCTATAACTGATCTCTGTGGCACATTCCAACATTTAAAAATTTTAAAGACGAAAAAGTAGTAAAGACTAAGAAATAATACCCAGTGAGAAGGAAGGCAAGACAGTATTGCTGGAATTAATCTCAGATTTTGAAATCTTAACTGCCATTAATTAAAGCTTTTTAATTTTTTTATTATTTATGGACACAATATATTTATTCTTATGTGGCACTGAGGATCAAACCCAGTGCCTCACAGTCTGAGGCAAGTACTCTACCAATGAGCTACAGCCCCAGTCCCACTAATTAAAGTTTTAAATCACAGAATCCAGTGAATACAGATAACCTCCAGGAAACTGACATTCTCTCACCAGGAATGATACTCTAGATTTTTTCCTTCATGCTTAGAAAATAATAAAGTCTTCCATTTCTGAAGCAAATTACTCTCTACTCATTCCTTCATACACTTGTAACAGGGGTTTACTTGATGTTTTGATTATATCCTTGTGGCTTTGAAACTTATGTTTCTTTCTTTTCCCCAATCTTATTTTCCCTAAACTTCTCCCTGATCATCTTTTCCCTAAACTTCTTCCTGATCTCTCCTCCCTAATCTCATTTTCTCTGAATCACTTCTATAAAAGCTCCCTATTCCTGCGGATGGGCAGAATCATAGTCTTTAGGGCAGGAGTCCCTCTGTTTCTCCTTTGCTAGCAAAGCAATAAACCTTTTTCCTTTTTCTCAAAACCGTGACCTCGTTAGTGGACTGGCACTGGGGACAAGGACCGAGCTTTAGCAACACACTGATTTACTGCATGTAAGATTCTAAGTTTGAACCAGGGGGAAATGCAGATAAATAAACTCATTGTCTCTAACCTTAGTTCATTTCTATGGAGAGGAAAGAAAAACAATGACAACAACTCAGCTAGAAGTTGGTCAAGAGAACACTCCAGATTAAGTGACACCACGTGGGTGACAGAAGTAAGTCAGAGGGTACTGCACCAGGTGAACCCAGTCTGATAATCAGCCATCCAAGAGACTGACAACTATCATTGACTTGACTTCTCTTTGCCTCCTTCACTGAACGCGGAGCGCGGGAAGCGCTAGCTTACTCAACAGGTGAAGTTAGTCCTTTCCACCAGGTCAAACCCTGTCTCCAACTATCCAAGCCCTAGCTCTGGCCCCAGGGCCTCCCGGGGCCCACAGGACTCCACCCTAAACCGCTGGAGTCGGACGCACTACAAATCCCACCAGGCCCCGCGCGCACACACACGCCGCCGCCCGCCCCGCCACCGCGGGGCTGTCTGGGGCCTGTAGTCTCCATTCCCCAAGCCAGCCAGTACCTGGAAGCGATAGAGGAAAGCTTCGGGCCAGAGGAAGAAGTAGGCTGGGCTGATGAGGCCGAGTTTGCCGACCAAGGGGACCGCGACGGTGGCAGCGAACCAGTAGCGCGTGATGATCGGGATGCTCCTGAACCAGTCCCCGATGTCCGACATCTTGGCCTCTCAAGTCGCCAGGATGCGCACAGCCGCGGGTCTGTCCGTGCGGGCACCCTCACTACGCGGCCGGCTCAGTGAGTGGAAGGTGTCGAGGCGGAAGCCGCCGAAACCGCGGTGCAGAAGGCGGAGACCGGCAGACGTGGCGCCACCGAATTCGGACGAGCGAGGCAGCGTTCTGAAACGAAACTTCCCCTTCCGGCGCCGCGAATCACGTGACCCGACGTCCCGCGGCTTAAAGGGCTAGCGCTGATATTACTGCAGGCCCGGGGCTCGGCGTTCCGGGGCGGAGCCAGACGACCACACGCCTGGGAGAAAACAGTAGTTGCCAGAAGCAACAGCAAATGCTCCAACCAATGGCGAGGCCCAAGGCTCTTAACCTAGTTCTTGCCCCGAGTAGTAATCCTAAATCGTGCTCCTGGAGGATATTTAAAGGGGCAGGGGAAAAAAAAAAAAATGACCAGGTCCTCATTTGTTCACTCACTGGACACTTATTTCAGGCAGGGTTCTAGACATTGGGGATGCTGTGGCTGTCAGCCCTGTCGTGGTGTCGTTTCTTCTGGAGCTTACATTTTTGTGAGCATAAATAATAAATGAATAATGGAATAAGATCATTTCACAGCAGAATAAGGAAAATAAAATAAGATGATGACGTAGAGTGACAGGGTGAGGTGGAGGCTTGTGAGGAGCGATGGCTACTTTATAGAAGAATGACCAGGTCCCAGGAGGTGGCCTTTAAGCAGCACCAACAAGGTAAAGATCTGAAGAAAGGGATTTACACGTATATACACACATATATACAATTTACACGTATATATACATATATATATTCCACTCACTGAAATAATTTCAAACAGCAAAATTTCCAACATTCTGTTATTTTTTAAAAAATTAGCGTCCTGGGGGCTGGGATTGTGGCTCAGCTGTAGAGCATTCGCCTAGCACAGGGAGGACGGATCCTCAGCACCACATAAAAATAAAGGCATTGTGTTGTGTCCATCTACACCTAAAAAAATAAATATTTTTTAAAAATTAACATCCTGTTTTTTATGCTAATTAGTAAACCTGTTTTTATAGAATAGAAACATTCCACAGTTTAATAAAAGCATACAACTTACGGGGACCTAAGGTTATCAAGCATATGAATATGTGAAAAATTTCTCATTCATGCACAGCTTCTGGGACTATAAATTGGTACAACTTTATACTACCTTTATTATTTGGTATAAAGTGAAAGCTAGAGAGTTGTATAAATAATAGATAATACTTGGAGATATTGCCTGAGGTTCCTTCTCTGCATCTTCCCATCACCACCTCTACTACCCATTTTATCTGACATATAATGAGAAAAATGGGTTAACTAGCTTAGGCTGAGAGCTAAGTTCCTCTGATGAATTCATAAGTCCATGTGCATGAGAAAACGATGAGAACAAGAACAACATGCAGCCAGTGTCTGGTAGGTTCATTTCTAGGCTATGCTGTCGAATGCTCTGGAATTCAGCTTTAGAAACACTGAAATTTATGTTGCGGCACCACCATTAATTAGCAAAACATGCTGTAAATTTACTAAGCCTCTTGATCTTCAGTTTATTTATCTGTAAATGGTGGTAGGTAATACTAGCATGGGACTCATATAGCTATTATGAGAATTTAAATGAGAAAACTTTATCCTCAACACTTGAGGCAGTATTAATGTTATTATTATTCTCTTTTTTGCTTAGTTGTCTTTTTAAAATGTTTTACAATAAAAATGTATTATTTTGTACTTTTTAAAGTTAATTAGAAAGTGTATTTATCTGCTCACAAATTATCATACCCCAAGGATAGAGCATTGGTTGCCCAGTGAAGGGTCAACGATGAGAACAGGCTTATCACTCAAGGACTTCAAGTTTTATAAATCTGGGATGGGCCTGATAATCTGCATTTTTCAAAAGTCCTCCCTGTCCCTTCCTCATCATGTGATTCTGATGTAGGTAATCTGCAGGTGACACTTTAAGAAACCTCACACTAGATCTAATAACTATAACATCATTTTTCTCTTTATAAAATCACAATATATTGCAATGAACTATTCTGAGCATAAAACACAAAAAGTGGATTATTTTTATTTTTCTTAAATAGAGGACTTCCCCAATCTTCCCAGATAGTTTGACCTAATGTTGAGGGCTGCAATCAAGTCAAGATGGCGCCTGGCAGTTTGCCAAGAGGAGTGCTTTGTGAGGCAACACCAGGAGCCATTAAGATGGTGGAGATTCCTTATTGGCTGATTGCTGTATCTGGATGATGCTAATTGAGTCAAGCTGTGTGTAGTCAGTTAGGTATATACACCGCTGTTGTTCCGAAATAAAGCAGTTCCCGCTTCAACCTTCAAGTTGCTTGTCACCTCTCAGTTATTTGGCCCAGCCGGACTGTGGCACCTATAATTTAATCACCTTATAAGGAAGTTCCTTTCTTTCCGTCATCAATCCAAGCCATCATTTAAAAGCACATAGGTAAATGATACCAGACTAGATACTAGAAACAAAAAATGTGGAGAGGTAGGGCAAATGAGCAGTCTCATAAGTAATTGTTGAGACTCCATTGGTACGACCTCTACAGCAAATATTTAAACACGCATTTAAGAATTCAAACTTTAGATGCCAACGTTTTTTTACTGTACAAGGTTAGTCATTGCTCTACTTTCTTGAAAAGAGCGAAAGTTTGGAAACAACTGGATCTGCTAATAAGGAACTGATTAAATAAACTAAGAGTCATATAACCAAATACTATGGAACATTTATTAGAATAAAATAACTTTGTATAACCCAAAGTGGAATGATTTCAAAGACATAATATTAAGAGAAGGTTGTAGTACAAGGTATGTATGCAGTGTGCAATTTTCTGCTGCATTGCGCAGAAGGCACTCACACAAATATGCTTGCAGTATTTACTTAAATCGATGATTAGCTCTGGGAAGAACTCAGAAACAAAATGTTAAATTGCCCTAAAATTTAATCAATTACCTTATAAGATGTATTATTGCATATCCTTTTGTACCTTTTAAATTTTGTTCCATATATACTGTGTGTTAGACCAGGACGCAAGAAAAGACCACTGACTCCAATTAAAATCAAATTAAAGCAAGCTTATTATTTCGACCAGCCGGACTGCCTTTTCCTCCCAAAACGGTGGGAACAAGACAGCAGCCCCACCTTTCCTACAGCCCAGCTTTATAGCCCAGAAAGTTACACAAAGAGGGGGTTACAGATAACAGAACTCTGACAAGCATCACACTAATGGTAGTTTACATTTTTTGCTGGCCCCAACATCAGAATTTATGAAGACCATTAGAGCCTCAGAGAGGGTCGTTGTCTGGCCAGGGAAGGGCAATATTTATGAGGTGTCACTAAAGTTTCAGAGAGGGCTGCTATCTGGTCAGAGAGCCAGGCATGGGTGAGTTCAAGGCACGGGCAGGCATTCCAAGCAGGTTCAGAGTTTGCAGTAATTTATAGTAAAGCCGAAATTAGCTTTTCATGGCTTTGTGGCAAGATGGCTCCCAATTTAAAAAGATCAGGTTGTTTTAAGAAATTAATTATAAAAAATATAGAAAAAATCATTCAGGAAGAAACATCTTTGATATCAGAAACTCCAGAGAGGTGGAGATGTAGAAAGGCTGACCTTTACTATATCTTTCCCGATCCAGTTGAAATATATGTTTGTCTCAAAAATAGAGTTTAGAAAAAACTGGAGGAAGACCAGCAACTAAGAGCACAGTATTTCCAATCTTCAAGAACTGGAGAGGCACTGCACAGTTCAGCGATGGCCACAGACTGAGAGCTGATGGCTCAAATATTCTGTCCCAACAGTTGTAATAGGAACACCATCCCTGTGGGATACCTGCCACCTTCAAGAAGTTCAAAGCATATTGCAAATGTGTAATTAATCCTTATGCTAGGCCTCGGGTGGTTAGCTCCACCTTGCAGATGAGGGGCCTATAGCAAGACTGATAACTTATCACTAAGCTGTGGCAGCATCGCGCCCGCAGAAGACTTCACCGCTGGGGCCGCATTCTGGTGAGCTCAGCCCACTTCAGCCCCCTTCAAGCCCCAGCCTGGGCTTCTCCGAATCTGTGCTCATCAACGCCGACGCACCCCGGGGACCCTTTCGCGACACCATCGTGCCCTGTCAAGACTCCATTTTGTCACAGCCCTTTTCAATACATATCTTGTTTTAATTTTCCCCATCATCTTTGGGGGCTGTCCCCATATAAATAAATAAATAAATAACTTATCACTGTCATGCCCAGCAAAATCAGTCCTGTATTTTTAGTCACAACTTGAGAAATTTTTCATATATATTTATAGTTTTGTTTTCAAAATTTTCATTTACATGAAAAATTTCCCAAGCTGTGACTAAAAAATACTGCAGTGCTGGGGATCAAACCCATAGCCTTGTGTATTCTAGGCAAGCAATCTATCACTGAGCCACACCCCCAGCCCATTTTTTCCCAATTTTGACACAGGCTTGGGAGACAACAGGGTTACTAAAAAGCATATAAAGAATTTGTCCTGTGTTATTCTTTTTTATTAATTAACTAATTGATTTTTAATTAGGTATATATGACAGCAGAATGCATTTTGATCCGTTATACACAATTGCAGCACAACTTGTCATTTCTCTGGTTGTACACGATGTATCATTGGACCATATGTGCAGTCACATGTGTACCTAGGGTAATGATGTCCATCTCATTCCATCATCTTTCCTTCCCCCACACTCCCTCTCATTTGTTATTCTTGATGCGCGCGTGTGTGTGTGTGTGTGTGTGTGTGTGTGTGTGTCTGTGTACTAAACACTCAATCTATAAAGGAATCAATCTGGATTCCAATTTTCCTCTGACCTTTCTTGATTGTGTGACCATGGACAATTCACTAATCTCTTAATTGGCTTGTTTAAATGGAAAAATAGTGTTATCTGCTGCCTATACCAAGGTTGCTTGTTTTAAATGAAAGCCTCCTGTTTCAAGCTTTGCACTCATACTTTGCATACCTCATCTCACTTAACACTCACACTAATCCCCGTAGGTAGGTATTCTTATTAAGCAAGGTGAAGGACAGGTTTATTTCTCCAAGATCACATAACTAGTAAGTTGCAATTCAAATCCAGATACATATGACATTAGAGCCCATCTTTGAACTAATCTACCTATGTAACAAATATAAAAGGTCTTTG